CTGGGACAGAGCCGTGATCTCTGCTGAGCGCTGAGGGCCTTTTTCCCATGAATCACGCTGCTTCGCACTAAACCATCTGTGCTGACTGTGCTGCCACTCGGTCTTTTTCCAGTTCCTCCATTTCCCCCTATTGTTCAGCACAGGCTTCCTTCCTGCTGCCTGCATGATCCCACACATCCCCTGCCCCCTCCACAGGAGCCGAGGGACAGCCAGGCCAGGATTCCTGCTGCACGATCCCTGTGCATGCATCTGCCTGCTCCCTGCTGCTGGCTGCACAACAGTGCCATGGGGCTGATGTGCTGCTGGTGGCTGCGGTGCCCCTGAGCACATGAGCAGGATGCTGTCAGCAAGCACATGTGAAGAGCAGGGCTCTGCTTACATGTATGTGCCCAGCCATGTGTGTGTTTCCATGGAGGGCTCCCCATAGGGCAAGTGGCTGAGCACCAGAGTGCATTGAGTAGGGACAGCCATGGCAGGAGCTGGTTGAGAAGCTGGGGGAGCAATGGGTGGAGAGCAAGGCATGGGGACACTGCAGCCTGTTGAGGTAGCACCTATACAAAGGCCTGGGCAGGGGGGTATGGGGGGTGATGGCCTGTAAGGGTGTGGGTTGGGTATCACTGCCACAGGGTTAAAGGGCTGTACCCAGCAGAAATGGGGCAATTTCCCCCTTTCCTGTGCCTGTATTGCCCTGAGGGACCTGTGGGCAGCTTTGCCCTCTGCCTGCCCTGCCTTGGGGGGGTCAGCAGGCAGCCGCCTGCCAGGACCTGGCTCCCAAGACCCCCCCCCCGCCCATGCGAGGCCCTGGGGCACTGGCTGGGCTGTGGCTCTTTGAGGCCGTCCCGCTGTGCCCATGGGCAATGGCACTGCACAGGCAGGTGGACACCGTCGCTGTCCCTGCAGGACCATCCGGTGCAGGGGGCTGGAAGCGGGCACGAACTGCCCCAGCCGGGGCCCTTCCCTCCCTGTCCCAGGTCTGCCCCATCCGCCCCTGCCACGGCCGGGGTTGTCCCTCACCTCTCGCCCCGCAGCGCGGTCCGCAGCCTCCCCCGGCCGGTGGCAGCGCCGCTGCGGGCTCCGTCCTGCTCTGGGCTCCAGGGTGATGCCAAGGTGTGCTCCGGGCACAGGGCTCGGCCCGCAGGCACCGCGCGCAGGAGCAGCTGCGGGCACAGCCTGGCTTCGAGGCACCCAGCCCGCCTCCCGCTGCCGGTCCCTCCTACAGCCCAACCCTCCGGCCCCCATCCCTGCCCCGTCCTGCCCCTTCCTCGGCATTACCCTGCCCCTGGCTGCCCCGTGTCCTGCCCCTCAGCCAGGCTCTGGCCTCCTTTGGGGGCTGCATCCTCCCTGCTCACCGCCTCATGCTCCTTTCACCTTCCCAGTGAAGGTCCTGCTCCCCACCTGCATTGCCATAGAGGAGCCTTCACCCACACCAAAGGCTGCACAGCTGAGGACGTTTGACGTTCTCAGGTGTATCAGGCTCTATTGGCTGCTCCCACCTCTGGCTACACACAGAGGAGATACTCATCATGGCCCAGAACAAGGCAGGGTGCAGGTGCTGCCAGATTGGTAGAAACAGGTTGAAATGTCCATGTTTATGAGGGGACAGGGGAGGGCTGGCGCTGGCTGGGTGAAATGCTGGGACTACAGACCCCTGCCTTGAGCTCTAGGGATGCTGCAGCACCCACCCGTCACTGCTGCTGCCCCATCATGAGAGTGGAGTGAGCTGAGAGACAGGATGGCACCAGGGTCTGGGTGTCAGGGGGACAGCGGGAGGGTTTTTCTCTTGCAAGGAACCTGTGCTTTCACCACGGGCTGACCTGGCTGCCTTTTAATGCAATGCTTTGTGCAAGAGCCCCAGTGGGGCTGGCAGTTGGTGCAGCTCTGCTCTTACCCAGCCTTGCACACAGTGTGTCTGAGGTATCTCACAGCACCCTTCAGCCCTTCTCTGGTTCTCATGGTGAGGCTCCAGCTCCCTGGGCAACCCCTTAAACCAACTCATACTGGTCCTTTCCTGCCCCAACGATGTCCCCAAAAACCATTGTAGTGGCTAGGAGCTGCGTGAGGCCCTGCTGTGGGACATCCACCTTTACAAGCCCCTGTGTGTGCAACTAGAAGTGAAAAGGCAGCTTTTAATCACAGGCTTTCTCCTACAAAGCAGAAGCAGAAAGCATGAATCTGGCATGGCTTTTGCCTTCCTCCCCCTTCCCCACCAGCTGCTCTAGCCATGGGTGATGTGTCCCTGGGGCTGGGGATAGCATCAGTGGCCTCACGGACCACCCTTACGGATGAGGTGTGGAGACAGGGTGTACTGGGACCCACACGGTGTATAGGAACCCTCTGGCCCTGCACTGCAGACTGTGTCATCCTGCTGGGCTCCTACCTCTGCCCCTTAGAGCAAACTGGCTAAAAAGTCCTGATGCTCACAGGAAGGTTGCTGTGGTCTGCAGTGTGAGCAGCTGGAGGGGCAGAGCAAAGGGTGCTGATAGCACTGGTGGCACTGGTTTGTGCCATCACTTCCATCCTGCTGTGCTGGGGCATTAGCACCAATAAAGCACACTCCAGTGAGGGACCAGATCCTAACTCACCTCTCTTTGGCACACTGTGGCATCTCTATAGAGCCCTCACAACCTGCTGAGTGGAGCTGTGCTCACGCCATGTGCCAGGAAGGCAGAGATGGGCTGCTTGGAGGGAGATGCTCAAGGGTGGAAGGGACACCGTGGGACAGTCCCAGAGTGGCAAGACCCAGTCCTATCCTGTGGCCAAGTGTGACCACACACTCCCACAGCCCACATCCTGATGGCTGCTGACAGGCCAGTGCAGTGCAGAAAACCTCCCTTGATCCCTTCTCCCTCCACAGTCACCAAAGTGCCAGGACTGGGGCTCCCTTCTCCTGGCAGGGGGGAAACCACTGCTCAAACACCTCTGCTGAGCCCCAGCACCAACAGGAAATGCCCAGCTGGAGCTGGGACATCCTTCAGCCACAGGACCACCATGGATCCAGACGGCTGGCATGGGGAGAACATGGCACAGCAGAGCACTGGAACTCAGGGTCCTGGTGTGGATGGTGGGGGTGAGAGCTGCCCAGGACACATCCATGAGCTCAGGAGATGCAAAGCATGAGCTAAGCATGCTGAGGTGCTGGCACAGGGTGCCCAGAGAAGCTGTGGCTGCCCCATCCCTGGCAGTGTTCAAGGCCAGGTTGGACACAGGGGCTTGGAGCAAGCTGCTCTAGTGGAAGGGGTCCCTGCCCGTGGCAGGGGTTGGAGCTGGATAAGCTTTAAGGTCCCTTCCAACCCAAACCATTCTATGATTCCGGGGATGCAGTCTCATCGTCCCCCAGCCAGGGTGTGTTTGACACTGGGGGCACTGGAGTGGGTTGCACAGTTGTGTGCAGGCAGGACGGGGGGCCCATGCCATGCTCCCCCTGACTCCTCTCCATCCAGTGCCGGTGACATCACCACCTCCGGGCTAATCTCTTGTCCAGCAGCAGCTTCCCGTTTCCTTTCCAATCTCTGGAATGACTCGCCTCTGCCTGGGGCCAGCAGGAAAAGCTGTCCAGATGGGGCTGTAGCCCTTGTGTCTCTGCCTGTGTCCCACTGGGCTGTGGACCACCCATGAGGGCACCGGTGGGGGGGGCTCCAGTCCCCCACATCTTCCCTGCCTATCCCTCCCTCAGGCACTCCAGGATACCAGCACACTGCTGCCTTCCTCTTCATGCCACAGGAAACACCGCAGTGGCACTTATAGGAAATCACCACTCTGGGGGTCCAGGACCCCCAGGGTTTGAGGCAGCCCCACTGGCCAGTGCTGCAGGTTTCACTCTTCTCCCCAGCCAGAGTGATGCTGGGGGCCAATCCTGGATGTGGACCAGTGACCCTGCCACCCCAGTAGCCCTTGCCCTCTACATGCACTCAATGTCGCTGCCGACCTGGATGTCTTGAGCATCATGGTGGGCTGGGTGTCAGCCCCTGGCACAGCCTCCCCTGGGACTGGTGCGAGCAGGAACTCAGGCAGCAGCTCCTCACGCCTGCCTCTGGCTGGCTGAAGGGAACTGCAGCCTGGCTGCTGCTGAGGAACCTCTGGGGAGTGAGGAGAGAGAAGGCTGCTTGTGCAGCACTAAGGCTGCGTGGGGTGCTCCTCACCCCAGCACCCTGCGGGTTCGGGGTGCCAGGGGGATGTGCTCTGTTATGGCAGCAGGCAGGGGTGTTTCTGCCCATTGCTGTGGCCATGGTTCCCTGCCCAGCTCTACCAGAAAGTGTTACTGGGGCAGTCTGGGGCTGGAATGTGTCAAAATCCTTTCCGATGTGAGCGCCCTCCCTCTGCTGATACGGGAGGAGCAGCACAGAGCAGGGAGGGACTGTGCTGTGAGGGCTGCGCATCCCCAGCCCAGCTGCAAGCCGTGGGAGCGGCTGCCTCAACGGACCTCCTCTCCCTGCCCCAGCACGTGTGGGTGATGTCCCCCTGGAGCAGCACATATGCGGGACATATGTGACCTTATGGGGTGGCTAAAGGGGGGCAGTGAGCATCCTTGCCAGGGATGCTGGGGTGGGGGTCTGGATGAACTGGGGAGGAGAAGCACAAGGTGTGGGGGAAACAAGCACAGGGCAGCAGCCCTACAGCTCGGGGTGGGATCACAGACGTTGGGGTGACCAAGGATGTGAAGCTGAGTCGGTCAGAGGGGCCCCAAAAGACACAGTGGCTCTATGGATGCTGCCATCCACAGAGCCACAGGATGGCTGATGGGGTCACCCCCATCACTGCGTAGGTTGAGGGTGTCTGCCACATCCTGGCCATGTCCCTGCCCCTGGTCTTTACCTTGCTGGGACAGCTCTGGAGCTGAACCTCCCAGCACCATCAGCAGTGATGACCCCATTTGCCTTGGCCTTGCACAGATCAGGCTTCAACCCATTTGGGGCAGGAGCCCTGCAGCCGCAGGCAGCCTTGCAGCATGGGGGCTTAGGCTTGGTGCCAGCACCATCCTGTGCCAGCCCGAAGCTCTCTCGTGCACACAGCAACCCCTTTATTGTTGTGCCAGAAACCACAGCAATGGCAAACACCGAGAGAGTGGGGACAGAGGCTGCCAAGACCCCACTGCCAGGACAAGCCCCCCCCACACCTCTAGGGAAGGGGTCCCCCGAGCTGGGCTAGAGCCAGGCCCAGGGGTGAGCCTCATGCCCAAGACAGGACCTGGGTGCGCTCCCTGAGATGGGGGTTCACGCTAAAACTGGGGGGACCTGGTGGGCTGGAGCAGGTCGAGCCTGACGGTGGGGCTGTCAGAGCTGGAGCACAGGCCAGAGAGACTCAGTGCAAGCCCTGTGCTACTGGAAAGCCTGGGCAGGACCCTCATAGTTCTCCCTACTTCTGGACCTTTGGGGGACACCCTTAGAAGGTCTTAAACTGGCAGAGGGATATCCTGGTACCAGGAAAGCTCCTACACCCCCCCATAAAGGGTTCCCCCCTCTCTCTGCCCAACCTCTCCTTGGGGCACCCAATCCCACTTCCAGCTCTATGTCCTGCATGGGGACATCATTTCCCATGTGACAGTACCTCGCTGCACTGCTAGGGGAGTCTATGATGAAGGAGTTGGAGAGCAGACATGACTATTGGGGTGCAGGGGGCCAAATTCCCACCCGTTCCCCCCCTGGCTGCCAAGCCTCAGTCATGAGGGTGTCCCCCCATGAGGTGAGGGCTCAGGCCTCGTGGTCACTGGTGCTCAGGTGATCCTCGGGCAGCCCGGTCTCGTCGATGTTCTCCAGCGAGTCCGCGTGCTGCAGCGAGAGCTCGGCCAGGCTGACGCTGGGCAGTGTGTTCTGCTCCGGGTACACCCAGGGCTTGTACCCAGGGTCGTGCTTGCGCTTCCACTCCGGGTACTTCAGCCCGGCCTTGTAGATCTTCTTCATCGCCTGTGGGCAGAGTGGGACCGGCTGTCACAGTGCCCAGGGGGGATGGAGCCACCCTGCTCTGCGGGCACGGCTCCCCCACTGCTTGGCCTTTGGGGGGGCTTGGAGGGGATGGGGGCCTGCTGGTGGCTTGGGCCACACAGACCTATGAGTCCTAGGTCACCCAGCACCCATCCTGCAAGCCCTGGGGCACCGGCACCCATCCTGCCCTTACCTAGGGGTCACTTTGTGACAGCTCACCCCTGATGCCCCTGCATCCCACCACCAGCCATGCACCCTGCTTACCTTTGGTGCCACAAACTGGGAGACGCGGTTCACCACCCACTTTGGCAGCGACCCTGCAAGAGCCCAAAGCCCCATCACTCAGGCAGTCTGGGTCCTGCACAGTGCCCTGTGCCAGACTCAGCACCCCCCAGCACTGATGGCTGTGCCCTGGGAGGGACCCCCTTCTTCCCTGGGTTGTCCCCACTCCCCTGTGGTGATGGAGAACCACAGCGGGTGAGCTCTGGGGGCACATTGGGGCACACTGGCACTCACCACGAGGGTCCACCTGGGTGAGATAATAGAGGACGCAGGCACCGGTGCCGTTCGCCTTGATGAGGTACCCTGTCTGCAGGGACACGGCTCTCACAAAGTCCTTCCGGGGGGGGTATTTCTGCAGAGAGACCCCATGCACCTCAGAGCCTGCCCCAGCAGCTGCCCAGCCCTGCCTGTGCCTGCGCCTGCTGGCACCAGTGCCGTGCCCGGGCTCACCGGGTGCTTGACGCTGTAGTTGATGATCATGTAGTCATTGCCCAGGGGCAGCCAGGAGCGCAGGGTGACGAAATCCCTGTTCTTCAGTGGGCTCGGGCACTTCCCTGCGGATAGACCCCGTTACATCCCAACCCAGTGCCCCTCGTGGCCCCACAGCCACTCACAGTGCTGTGGGGTGAGGGAGGGGGTCCCCAGGGGCTGCTCACAGGAGTAGTATCCCACGTCAGCGTTCACGGTCAGGCGCCCGATGTCGTAGGTCTCGATCATATTCGAGTCCCATTTCTTGCGGTAGTCGGTGTCGTGCAGCACATCATAGAGTGTCTCAGCAGGGACGTCCTTGCAGGAGATGCGAGTCTGGGGGGTGACAGGCAGTGGGGCAGGGAGGCAGCCCCCACCACAGAGCATGGAGCAGTGCCTGCCTGCCTGCGGAGGAGGGCTTCAGGCTGCTCCTGTGCGCGGTGGCATGTCCCTGTGCTGTTATAAACCCATGTACACGCGTGCCACGGAGGATGCTCTGCACACACATGGTGCAGGGCATGCCCCAGCTTCAGGATAGGCCATAGTAGCCAGAGGGTATCCAGGGGCAGAAGGACCCTCAAATAGAGCTGCGTGGTGGTCCAGGCTTGGCTCCCCGGGTACCCCAAACCCAAACCTATTCAAGCACAGGGATGCTCCTGCCCTGGCAGGGTGGTTTTGGTGAGGGGTCCAGCCCAGGGGGGTTGCTGGGGCCCCGGCTGTAACCGGAGCCATGGAGCTGCCCTACCCGGCAGCGAGTGCATTATTGATGAGCTGGCTGCCCCGCTCCGCTCGGTGCCGGCAGGAGGGAGATGTCATCTGCTCCTCGTTAGAGGCCTTGCATCTTTGATGAGGTGCTCAGCACTGGCGTGTAACTGGAGATGCCCCTCTGAGCGTGGCAGGGCCCATCAATCTCAGGCAAGCGTTCCCTGATGGCCCCGGTGGCAGCTCCTGCCCCATGTGCTGGACTTGTGCCCAGGACAGGCTTGGAGATGTGCTGCAGCCCCCGGGGTACCAGGAATGAGAGTGTGGGAGCATCCAGACCCATGCTCTGAACCCCAGGCCCCAGCCTGTGCAGCTCAGCTCCTGGGTGGCATCCTCCATCCCATGTTTTGGGAAGGGTCCCAAACCCCTGCACCATGCCCAGGCCCCCTCCAGAAAAGCCACATCCTTGCAATGAAGCAGGGTGATGGTGCTCAGACCCCCCCACCAACCTGTCTGGGGTTCTCAGTCTATGGGACTCGGTGGTGGCAAAGCTGGGTATAACTGTGTCCCCTCTGCTGGGCTCTGCGTGTTTGAACCTGGCTGGACCCCACAAGGTTTCTGCCAGCCCATCCAGGAGCAGCTTTGTCTCCAACACATCACTCTCCACACTTCAGGGCTGCGCACACTGCAGATGTGCTGATAGGGCACTCCCATCATCCCAGTAACAGGGTGGGATCCAGCAACTGGCCACCATCCAGAGCCTGCACTGCTGACCCCCATCCTGTGAGCCAGGTGCTGAGCTGGTTTTCCACCCTCCTCATCATCCACTTGTGTCCAGACTCACCAGCGTGGTGATGAGGAGACTACAGGAGACCCTGCCAAAGGTTTTACTGAAGTCAAAGTGCAGGGCTTTCACCTTTCTCCCCATACCCAGCCAGCCAGTCCTCTCATTGCAGGAGGCAATCAGGCTGGTCTACCATGATTTCCCCTTGGCAGGTTCCTGCTGCTGTTACCACTGCTCTTGCCCTTAAGGACATGGCTTCCAGGAGGAATTTCTCCACCACCTTCCCAGGGATGGAGGTGACACAGCAGTGCATAGTGCCCTGGGGCATCCTTCTTGCCCTTCTGCAAGGTGAATGTGACATTTGCCTCTTCCCAGCTATCAGGGACCTCCTGCAGTCACCAGGACTTTTCAAAGAGACATTGACCAGAGCCCTCAGCACCCCCTGGTGCATCCTGCCTGGTCCTGTGCACTTGTTCATGCCCAACTGGCCTAAGTGCTCCCGGATCTTAGCCCAAAAGCTCTTCCTTGGCTCTCAGCAGCAAGGCAGCGCATTGCAGCTACACCTCTGTAAGGAGTGCTGCTCCTCCTCACCTTGCCCTGAAGGGCCTCCATCCATGGCAGCACCACAGCCATCGTGTACCCAGCTCCACCTTGTGTCTGCCCAGCTGCAGGCACTCGAGGTGGGCTGCCGGTTACTCTGTGTCCAGGAGAGCAGTGCAAGAGGCTCCTCTGGTGTTCTGTACCCCAAACACCCATCACCACCTCCCCATGCCCTTCAGGCCATAGCAACCCTTCCCTGACACTCCTAGTTGACAGCTCCCCTTATCAAGTTGTCTGTCCCATAGGTAAGATGCTCCTGTCCTACTTGCTTGGGCAGATACCATTCTTGCCCAGCAGCCCTGTGCCTCTGTCCTCAGGAAAGCCAAAGCCCTGCCCATGACACCAGCCATGGAGTCATAGCTGCACTGACCCACAGGATGCTCCCACCCAGGGCTTACGCTGTAATTGGGCTCCCTTGCCCCCAGCATCCTGTAACCACTCCTGATGTACTCAGGGTCACCTGCCAGTGTCACTGGTGCCATATAGAGGACCAGCTAGGTATAACAACCTGAGGGATGGTTGAACCTCATCCCAGATCCATTTTGGAGGTGAAGAAGGAATTCTTCACAATGAGGATGGTAAAACACTGGCACAGGCTGCCCAGAGGTGGTGGATGCACCATCCCTGGAGACATTCTAGGCCAGGCTGGATGTGGTTCTGGGCAACCTGATCTGGGGGAAGGTGTCCCTGCTCACTGCAGGGGGGTTGGACTGGATGACCTTTGAAGGTCCCTTCTAACCCAAACTATTCTGTGATTCTACGATCCAGGCCGTGGCAAACAACAAACATCCTGAGACCGCACATGGGGGCTCTTAAACTCAAGATGCTCCTCCAGTGCGGGATGGCAGGGATGTGCTGCAGGATGGCGTGGCTGGGGGAGAGGCACCAGGGAGGCATCGCACCAGCCTGTCTCATGCCCGGGGGCTCCCAGCAAGGCCATCTCTATAACGTAATCGATCCTGGGGCCTTCCCTCCTGTGTCTGGATCAAGGGCAGCCGCAATGTGAGCCCACACGCGTGCATGGCAGGATGCTGCAGCGGCACCCCAGCAGGTCGAGAGGCTAAAGCCACAGGGCAGGCAGTGAGAGCCCTGGGCAGAAACACCCCCAGGCAGGCTGGACCAGGGCCCTGCGCACCCTCAGGGTGGGCCAGCACCTCAAGGACCGTCGGGTGCAGCTGGGGTAAGGAAGGGCTGCAGTCCCGCAGCTGCAGGCATTTGCTTACCTTGATTTTCTGCACAGTGCAGCTTTCCTCCTGGCCCTGACTCCACACGGTCACGCCAGCCTTGTTATACCGACAGTGCCAGCCCTCCAGGCTCTCGCACTGATCCCTGAAGGAGCTGAAGTCGGAGTCATCCGGGATATAAACCATCTCCCCTCCTCTGGACATGGGGCTGCGCTGCCGGACCCAGGATGCGGGTACTTGGCTGCAGGCAGGCTCCTTCTGCCTCACCTCCCGGGGAAACCCAGCTCTGCCCTTGAGCTCTGGGTGCCTGCTTGCAGCTCACATCATCCTCCGAGCCCTGCGCCCGTGCCCCTGCGGTGGGCACCGGGGCCGCTCAGGCACCCAGGGAGGGCAGAGGCAGAGGAAGGCTCAGCGCCTGCAGTTGCTATCGCAGCTGCCGGGAGCTCGGGTGTCTCCTCCGGCTGGCTCCCGGGATCACATTTCTCCCCGCGGGCTCTCAGCTCCTCTATTATTCAGCAGGCAGCAGCGCGCAGGTGACTCGGCTTTCAGGGCACAGCTGCCCCAGGCCCCCCGAGCCCCCCAGCCCCGCAGTCCCCTCGCTGCACGCTGCAATCTCCGTGCCTGACTTTGCAGCACCAGCTCGCCGATGGGATCAGCTGATCACCTGCCTGGAGCAGCAGCCGGGCCTCCAGCGGCGCGGCGGAAGCAATGGGCAGCAGCATCAGCAGGATGCGGGCTGGGGGGGGGGCCTGGCCTGTCTGGGATGAGGCCGCGGTCCGGTGCGCAGCACCCTGGTGCTCAAGGTGCCCTGGGTCTATGTGTGGGCTCCTGGCAGTGTTTGCAGGTGGGGAGGTTGCCCCTCACTGGGCTCAGCAGGATGCTGGTGATGCTGGCAGGAAGGGACTCCTGGGGTCTTTAGCCCACCCTGCTCCTTGGAGCAGAAACACCACCAGCACAGGGTAAGGTGACCCATGGCTTTAACCAGCTGTGTCTTGAAATATGGACTTGCCCCACATGCACCACCTCCCCAGGAATAAAAAAAGAGTAATTCCTGCTTGTCCTACCTGAAGCTGCAATTAGTGCCCATTGTGCTTCGTTCCACCTCATTTTGCCCGTTGTCCTTTGTTACTCCCTACAAAAAGAGATGTCTCCATCTCCGGGTAGCTGCATGCTGGTAGATTCCAACCCACCCCTCTTGTAGCTCCAGCCCTGCCAGCAGCAATTTGCTGGTCCCTCTTCAGCTCCTCCACCTCTCCCTGAACTGGCCATTCTCTCAGGCTGCTGCCCCCACTCCTCCTCATGTCACTCAGGACACAGCTTGCCCCCTTTCTTTCAGCCTCTTGGCCAGGACCCTGGGTCCTGGTTTGTGTTGATCCAACTTTGGAGCCTCTTGGGGTCCACCTGGGCTGAGGCTCTGCATTTGCTGTGCACCCATTCCTCCCAGATTAACCTCACCTGCAAGGCAAAGGTGCATCTCTTATCCAGCCCTCTGATGATGATATGGAGCGTGGCCCCAGCACTCACCCTGGGGTACCCCACTTGGGACTAGCTGCCAGATGGGCATCAAGGCACAGGCAAAAAGGGAGAGCACGGAGGAAGCTGCAGCACTCACAGAACCTTGCCTGGGAGGGAGGTTGCCTGCAGCTCTCCATGTTGCAGCACGGTGGCTGAGCAGCTCCTCCATGCACACTGGCTCATCCTGGGGCTGTTTCCCACTTTGGCCTGTTCTGGGTGCCATGGTCACCACCAGTGAGGCAGAGCTGCCAGGTGCCACACTTGGCTGAAGAGCTGCCGCAGTGGGCAGGGAGCAGCGGATCCTGAGCTGGGGATAGTGCAGAGGAAAGACCTTGGGGTGGCCTTGGGGCTGTGGAGCAGGGAGCAAATGAGGCTGGAAGGATTTATGGTCCAGAGCTGTTCAACACCATTGCTGTAGTGTCCCATGGGGTGCACGCACGGGAGAGTGTGTGAGCATCTGCATGCCTGTGTGTCCATTGCATGTACAGTCACTCTAGCCCCTGTGAGACAGACACAGCCTGGAGAGTCCATGCATGGATGTGTGGGGCAAGGTAGAACCCAAGCCTGGGGGCTTTGTAGCTCCAAGGCTCCGTGGGGTGAAAGGAGGAAGGACACTGCAGTCCTGGGGATGGAGCAGCTTTGCTGGGCTGCATAGGAAGGAGCACACTGCTTTCCCAGCACCACTGAAGCATGAACCAGCCCTGCCTGGCCCCATTTCTCTCTGCACCTGACAGATGGAACTTTTCTCTCCCTGCTTGGACAGGCTGGTGGAATTGAAGGTGCTTTCTTCTCTTCTGCAGCACTCCCTGGTCAGTGTCCAAGCTGGAAAACAGTGCAGCCACCCGAGAGGTTGCTGGTCACCATCATGTCATCTGCAAACCACCAGCTGAGCTGATGGGTTCCCATCACCCACTTGGCCTTGCAATCACTCAGGGCTCATGGCAGCCCCCTTTACCCCTGTCCTTGGCTCTTTTGGACCCAAAGTCTGGGTCTGAGTGATGCTGATGGGAACCTGCACATCCCAAGGGAGAGGGAAGGTGACTGGAGCAAGTGTAAAGACACAGGTTAACGTGACCTTGTCTCTGTCACTCATTTTTAACTTCTATTCATGAGCATTGACCATCAAACGTCCTGCCTTGAGTTTCCAGCCAGGCAACAGCTATCCAGGAGCAGTTTTATAGTGTGTCTCCAGGTACCACAGCCCCATGCGCCCCATCCTCCATGGAGGAAGTGCTGCTGAACAAGGACTTTCTGGTCCCTTCCTCCTCCTCCTTTCATTCTCCAGGTCAAATTCCTAAACTCTGCAAGTGTCTTTGCAGACCCCAGTGGCAGGATGTGGGGTTTCCATGCTGGGAGGGGGGTTTGCAGGGCTCTGATGTGGGTGTTCAGGGCTCCCTTAATGAGTTTGGATGCCTCAGCAGGATGAGCGTCCAGCCTCTCCAGAGCTGGAGAAGAGCATCCAGTCTCCTCTGCAGTGACTGCTCCTGCTCCTGCTCCTTCAAGAATCAACTTCAAAATTGAAATGGAAAATGCTTTTCCCACAGAAAACGGTTCTGCTTTGGCTTTGTGCGAACCATGGTGCTCTCCTCAGGTACTTGGGTTTATCTGCTGGGGAATGAAGAAGAGAGGTAGGAGGAAAAGCTGAGATGGGCTGAGAGTTTCCTGGCCTGCGGGGACAGGCCAAGGGGAATGGCTTTAACCTGCCAGAGGGGAGACTGAGATGAGCTCTTAGGCAGAAGCTGTTCCCTGTGAGGGTGCTGAGGCGCTGGCACAGGGTGCCCAGAGAAGCTGTGGCTGCCCCATCCCTGGCAGTGTTCAAGGCCAGGTTGGACACAGGGGCTTGGAGCAAGCTGCTCTAGTGGAAGGTGTCCCTGCCCGTGTCAGGGGTTGGAGCTGGGTGAGCTTTAAGGTCCCTTCCAACACAAACCAGGCTGGGATTCCATGACCCCTTGATGCCAAGTGTGATCCAGGAGTCCCAGGACCTCAGGAACCACCCCAGATCCCCGGGGCTGCGGGGACCCCGCCAGTTAAACCCCCCCTGCGGCTCCCTGGGGAGGACAAGGTCCCCGCACGGGTGACACCCCCAGGACAGGGCACGGCGAGCAGGGACCGGCCCGGGCTGCGCCGCCCTGTGCAGCCTGGCGCTCGCCCGCTGGGTGTCACCAGCGCTCCACGGACCGCAGCGGCGGGGACACGGCAGGGAGAGGCCGGGGAAAGGGACGAGCCGGGGAGCAGGGAGCGGAGCGGGGCCGTGCCCGCGGCGGGGACAGCGCAGGGGTGACCTGTCCCCACCTCCGCGCTACTGCCACCAGCTCGTCCACGGAGGTGGAGGTGATGGCTGGGGCTGATTCTGACCTGGGCCAGAGAAGCACAGAGTGCTTTGGGTTGGAAGGGACCTTACAGCTCATCCAGTTCTCCCCAGTAGAGGGGCAGGATCCCCTCCCTCGACTGCTGCTCACGCTCTGGGGGTGCAGCCCAGAGCACGGGGGGGTTCTGACCAGCATCCCCAAGTCCTTCTCCTCAGGCCTGCTCCATTCAGCCTCCCTCAGCCTCTGTGCCTGGGATTGCCCCGACCCATGTGCAGGACCTTTCACTTGGCCTTGTTGAACTCCATGAGGTTCGCACGGTCCCACCTCTGCAGCCTGTCCAGGTCTCTCTGGATCCCATCCCTTCCACACACACGGGGTGGTGCAGATGTGCTCTGTACGTGTGCAGACACACGTGCCCACTGCAGCTGCCTTCGTGTGCATCTTGACGCTCCTCAAAGGCCTCTCAAACACCCCATTCCCACTTCAAGCCTTGTTGGGATGCATCCTGCTTCCCACTTCCCTCTTGCCACCATCGCTGCACCATGGCCCCGCATTCCCCCTTTACAGCTCTCCCACTGCCCCATACTGCTCATTTGAGCTAAGTCCTTCTGCTCTGGTGGCAGCCAGCCTTGTGTTCCCCCTGCCTTGTGTACCCTGGAGCATCCCTCCCTTCCCACACTGCCTGTAGCCACCCAGGGACCCTGTGCCAGCCCCTACTGCCCAAACCCCATCTCTGCTCTACCACCCTTCTCCTAGCGTGGCACACAGGGCTGTGGTACCCCACAGCTGCCGGTCCAGGGCTTGTTCTCACGGTGCCCAAGCCAGGTTTCAGCATGATTTAAAAGGACTGTGAAAAATGTAGTTATTCCCCCCCCCTCCCCTTCAGCTGCAAGTCAATACTTGGGGAAAGATGTTTAATTATCTTTGTCACCCTCCTAAATCTCTTTATGAAAGGGTTTGGCTGCAAATCTTCACATCGTTTCAGAGTTATTGGCTAGTGCGGTGCGCAGCGGCATAGTAAATTAGCCGGTTGGAGCAGGCATGGGTGACCCCCCTGTGCTGTGCTGTATCCAAGCTCAGCACTAACCTGGGGCTGTACCAGCATGGGGGGCAGCAAGGAAGCCCCCTGCTTGCTTGGGGTTAGGGGTGGTGTCCCCTCCATGCATGGGCACCAAGTGGGCATCATGTCCCAGTGCATGCCCTATCCCTGCAGTGGGTAATGCCACAGGCTGGCAACTTCCCTGGGGCCCAGGATCATAGAATCAAATAGGTTGAAAAGACCTTTAAGATCATCAAGTCCAAGCTCTCCAAGCACTGCCAAGGCCACCACTAACCCATGGCACTGAGGGCCTTGTCTACATGGTGTGTGAGCACTTCCAGGGACAGTGACTCCAGCACTGCCCTGGGCAGCAGTTCCTCATCAGACTGCTCTAAAATGGATGAGACAGGATCCAGGGACATAGGACAGCCAGGGCCACCGCAGGATGACCTCCTGTATCATGAGGTCCATTGCTCTCTGTGTGGCATGGTACCCCCAACACAGCCTTTAACCCCATTCCAGATGCTTTC